AGTGCACGCCTACTCGGGATAAAGAGAGGTTAGCTGACTCTGTAAAGAACTACAGCGGCAAGATTTATGGAAACCCTATTGGAGCAGTTCTACTCTGTCCTAACAGGTCTCAATGAATCAGAATAGACTTAATGGCAATGCGCTGGGTTGGGTTGGGTTGACTTTGGTTTTGACCTCGGGTCAACTTACCTGCAGTTTATATCACAGAGTGAGAGGTCAGCTGGATGCACAGGGAGCCGTAAAACCGCAAGGTGTCATTTAAAGCGGAACAGAAGGAACCAACCCTTCTCCAAGTGGTCTTCCTGGAACCTGGATTGTCTAAAAGTGGGCTATTTCTTTCCATGAAGCCACTGTCGTTAAACAGCCACTATGCCCGTGAACCCATTAATATACCAACAATCATGTTTTCCTCATTACTCCTCTGTCCCTTAGTGGAGAGCGTGGAACTCCGATGTGACATCTGACAAGACCACTACAGTGGAGTCCATTCAACTCACAGCAACCCGACAGGACGGCTAGAACGGTCCCCGGGGGTCTCCAAGGCTGCCTGTCTTTACAGAAGCAGACTGCCACGCTCTTTTCCCTGGTAGGTTTGAACCCCCAACCTTTCATTTCACCACAGAGCACTTTGACCAGGGCACCACCAGCGATCCGCAAGATGTGCCAAGTGGGTGCTACGCTGGGGCTCCTTAAGGTGGGTCCAGCACGGTTGACCGTGGAACAACGGCGACGTGGCCCAGCATTCAAACCGAAGGGGTGGGGGGCACACAGTGACAGGCAACACTGCCAGGGTTTTACGTACTCAGAGAAAGGGAGGCTGGGCTCTCTGTCGTCGATGTCTAGAGCATCACTTTCCTTCCAAATAGTTCAGGGGATTATCTTCCCTGGATGGTGACAGGAGACGTGACGGGTGAACTTTCCAGAAACTGGAAAGGCAGCTGGATATTACTTCATAGCATTTCCCAACCATGTTAATCACATATGAGACTCATCGACAGTCTACTCTGACATCATAGAAACCACGCACATCAATCAATAGGAAAACAGCACGGGATTGTGTCTTTGTGACCCCTCACTATTGTATGAGGATGAAATCTACAGTCTCAGACCCTAAGTTCGCAAGCAGCTGTTGAATGAACGCAAATGGTCTGTGAAATGTGCAAATGTGTCGCCTTTCCAAAACTACTGCAGCAAAAGCCCCCCAATGGCCAGCTGGTGGTGACCTCCTGGGTTACCAAGAAGCATTGAGCTCCACAGCGTTTTCTTGGCTTTAACCTTTCCAGGAGCAAAGAGCAGGCTCTCTTTCCCAGCACCTCGGGGTGGGTTTAAAATGCCAACCTTCTGGTCCTTAGCCTGTGGCAAAACCATCTGTGCTGTGTGGATGGGGACCTGGTTTCATCTGTAGAGGGTGTAACTAAGATAATTTCCTAAGGCATCCAAAAGTTACGCACTCTTTTTTTTTTTTTTTTTTTAAAGAATCCTGCTAAAGTACTTAATGACTACAATACTCTTTTGAAAACACATTTATAGTCAAGAAACAGGCAAAGGGGGAAAAAAACAACTTGAAAACCTCTCGGCTCTCCTGGCCCCAGTGCCATGATCACCTCCCCGTGGGCTTCCTACACGTCTCTCGAAAACTCAACTGAGGGTAAACCTCTACCTACACTGAGTTTCAAAACCATGACAAGAATATGACACATTATAGAAGAGGGAGATGGCAACACTTAACATTTATGTTGCAAGTTACCACAAGTAAAGCCCGAAAAGTCTTTGATTCCTTCAGCTATTCTTTCCATAAGTCATACATAGTCACGTATGATCATCCTATTTAATATGGTTCCATCCGCTGACGGGTAACATTTTAACCTCTAGCCAACCATAGCAAGACAATTCAAAATGAAGGCTGACACTTTGTCCTTTAACTTGCTCGAGAGTCCCGCAGGGGTTTCAAGGCCTGAATTTGCACCATATGTGCAAATGCTCCACACAGCAGGCAGGGGAACTCAGGATGCCTCCCCATTTTGTCATTCTCCAGCTTCCTGCTGCTTGGTGAGCAGCCCTCCCTTTAGCTAAACATAAGCCTTGTAGGCAAATCACTTTTAGGAAAAGAGCCTCCTAGCAGAAACTCCTGCATGCTGATGACATTTCCAAGGCACCGCAATTGATTGCATTCCAGAACTCAGTTATGGGGCGTTTTGCAGAGTCTCCATGAAGCCAAGGCATCCTGAGGGAGTAGTGATTCACCCATTGAGCTGCTAAATGCTAGACAGTCTGCTAAAAGGTGAGCAGTTCAAACCCACCAGGCACTCCTTGGAAAAAGATGAGGCTTTCTGCTTCCATAAAGATTTACAGCCTGCGAAGCCAAAGAGGTAGTTCTACTCTGTGCTGTAGGGAAGCTTTGTGTCAGTATCAACTCGATGGCAACGGGTTTGGTTTTGGTTTTTCTTGTTTTAGGAAACAGAACCCTTTTAATAAAACTTCCATCAAATAAAATTACTTGCCACCTAAGTTTTTAAGAAAAAAAGAGATAACATAAATAGGAGAAACTCTTACAAATATTGTCCATTGACTATTAAATGATTGTTGGCTAATGAGGGATTTTTATAAAGACAACCTTTTCCATGTGGCAAGTCTTGAATGTTACACCTACTCCTCTCTTGGTTAATGGGATGTATGGACCGTGCCCTCAGGAGATTAGAATCAAAGAATCTTCCTAGGTTATAGATTCAGAATTCGCTTTGCCAGCTATGAGAACCCCACCAGAGAAATGAAAGAATGCCAACTGCTAGTAATAAAGTGGGAGCCCTGATGGTTTAATGGGTTATGCATTGGGCTGCTGACCAGGTGAGCGGTTCAAACCTACCAGCTGCTTTAAAGTGAGACTTTCCACTCCCTTAAAGAGTTACAGTCTCAGAAACCCGCTGGACAGTTCTACTCTGTCCTAGAGGGTCACAGTGAATTGGCAAGGATTCAATGGCAGTGAGAGGGTGAGTAAGAGACCAATACAGCAGATCTTTCCTACAATGTCAGTACCTCTTATAAGCTAGAGTGCAGGAAAAGGAACTATAGCAGGAAGGGTGGTCCTTTGCTAAAAATCACACAACTTCACCAATGGTATTTCCCCTTGGGTGTCTGTTAAAGCAGCACATTTAGTGCTCTATAATTCCCAATGTCTATATATAGCTTAAAGAGGGAAGCCTAAATCTCATGGGTCTCAGATTCACTTCCTGTTGCCTGCCTTCATTATCCATTTAAAGGTAATCGATACAAACTGACTTCTCTTTGTAAGCATTTTCTTGTTCTGCCAGAAATAATAGCAGTCCCTGCCCTAAAATGAAGAGAGAAGGGGAAAGGAAAATAATGTGTATCATAAGAGGAGAAGGCAGAAGTGCCTATACCTTCAAGGATTCCTGAGCTGAGTGAAATGCAAACAGTAAGAGTATTTGTGAAGAAAAATTTCCAAACCCTCTTGCCATGAGCTCTATTCTTAAAATCTGGGGCATCTGCCAGTTTTCAAGCACACGAGTTATATTGCAACTCTCAGAGATAACTCTTTCGTGTTTCTGAACAGCACTGTTTTTGCAATACAACTATTTATTACCCACGCAAGACCACGGCTGAATGTCCAAACACTGAGGCAAGTGGCGGACAAACAAGTCCGCCAAATTGCATTCTGGGCCAGCTTAAGATAGGAAACCAGAGAGAGGGAAAGAAAGAAAGAAAATAAGAAAAAAGCACAAAAAGAAAGCTCTGTGGACTAAGGAAGGAAAGAACTGTAAACATGTCTATTTCTGGTTTCAAAACTCTTTTCCCATTTGAGAGTTTAGCACAAGAACTTTCTAAAGTCAAACAAGATGAGAACATTTTATATTAGATACTCTGAAACCATCTCACTTGGGTCTCCATTTTGCAGACCCTCAGCATGAACCTGTTTTTGCATTTTCTGGATGGCCTACAAAGGCTTGAACCAAGTCCACCAGAGGGAAGAGTAAAAAGAGACTTTTACTTTGCAACAAAGTTACAGATACGTTTTATAACTTTCCCAGCCATGGAATTTCCCCTCCCAACATCCTCTCTATGGACGTTGTCATATTCCACAGGGGCAGAGCATAAATCAGACAAATCCAGCGGGCCAGCCTGAAGAATGAGGGTGAAAAGCTGGGAAGATACAATTAAAACCATCTGTTTGCTGGGTATATTCTCAACAACAAACCAACAAAATAAACAAACTTATCTGAACACAAGCAGGACCAGAGATACGGAAGCCATCCTGGCTGGAAGAAACCCAAGTACAAATCAAACCCTTTCTAGTGTTCGTGAAATTGTCCAGTCCGTTTGAGAGAGGCAGACATCATGCAGGAAACATTCTCTCTTTTATTTTTTTCCCCCTTCACAGTAAACCCTCCCATGGAAGTCTTCACAGATAATTGAGCTGAGAGCTAGCTTTGTATCACAGTTTAATTCATAGCTGTTAATAGAAAACTGATCTCTGATTTTAAACAGCTATCACTTACTTTTACACACAGTTTAAGACTGGAGCAAGGGTCAATTTCATCCCCTTCAAGAACCAATCAGTGGTTTATGATGACAATATTGAATCAAAAGCCTTTTCTGTTTGACTAAGAAACCTTTCTGTCAAAGGCCCTGAGGATTCCAACACAGTTGTCGCCTGTTGGGACTCCAAGCAGCAGCAGCGAGGAACCCCAGTCTTTCACCTCTATGATACAAAATGCAGCCCAGATGTTAACAGCCACCCATGGGTGGTGGATTTAGCAGGCCAATGATATTTATGTCTGCATCTATATAAACATTAGAGTTTTTAGTGTTAGAAAGCAATTCCAATAGAGTCCAATCTTTGACCTCTGACCATTCCACAGCTTAAACCTTTTAAGCTCTGAACCTTAGACACTCCACAGCTCGTGGGCCAGCGCATCTCAAATGTCAATGACGATAACCTCATGAAACCACTGGGCTTCTGTACACAGCTCAAGTTAAGGAAGTCACTTACCCCCCAGGAACTGAATCCCTCCGGCTACTCTCCCCACTGTCCTGGAGATGAGCTCCGACACGCAGCATCCCATGAGAGCGGTCAGCGCTACCAGGAGCAGGAGGCCGCAACCCAGGCCGGTCACTATGGTACAGATCCTCCACTCGGTGCTGGGGATGCCCTGGAAGGAGGCGTAGCGCCCACATTCCTCCACCATCACCATCATCTGCCGGCTCTCGTCATGCACAGGATAGGCGCACCTCCGGAAAGTACCAAAGGACACCGGCTTGCCCAGCTGTGACCCCCAGAGCCAGTAGGGCATAAAGAAGCCCACACAGGAGGTGGCGGCACAAAGGAGCGAGAGCAGAGCCCAGATCACTCCGGTACAAGTGAGGCTGGATGCCATCTTTCACCTGATGAGGCAGCTCGGACCCAGAGATTCCAAAGTTCAGGGGCTTCAGGCAGGGGTGAAGGTGTGAAGTGGCTCGGAGATCTGCAGGCAGGGGTCTAGTAACAGGAGTCTTCAGTCCCACTGCATGTCACCGTCCCTTCCTGGATAACAAGTGGGTTGGTCCCTGATTTAAAAAAAAAAGGAGGGGGGGTGTTAACCACAAATTAAATGCTTTAGAAACACGTCTACCGCCCTCTCAGTCGGTCTACAACTTGTAACTAACAGGCAAGCTCGTGGCAACATTTCAAAAGTGCGAATAACTCGTTCTATTCTCAGTCTCTTGGTGTCCTGTCTAGAACGCCAGCCCCAGCCTCTTCCAGGTCTTTATCTCCTGGCAACGCATCCAGACAAACTGACTGACAGAAATGCACGGCTTTCTATTTGCCAAACCAGGAAATCTCATTTCCGAGACTCACATGAAAAGTAAGGTAGCATTTTTACTTTGTTTTGTTTTGTTGTCCGGGCGGTAACCATCATCCCGGACATTTCAGGAAAACAAGCCATGCCACTTTGTTTCGAAGGCCCTCTGGCTACTTCTTAGCAACTTTTCAGCGTCCCCTTAGCTCTGGGCGGGAGCCCAGAGAAATCGTTGGGCGAATCTCCGACCATAGCAGAGCATCCTACATTCCACACACGTGCTTGTGTAGGTGCAGCCTGGAGCAAAACTGAGATCCCCGCCCGCCTGCCATTCAGTCATTCATTCGCAGTTGAGCATTCCTTCCGCCTCCACCCTTGAAGTCTATGAGCGTCAGTAAAGCCTGCGCACGACTTGCTTTGGAATCTGCCCTTGCGATTCACTCATTCCAGCCGTTCGGCTGCGCCCACCGCCCCTGGTAGCCTGCCCGCCCTCCGGTCGGCATCTTACTCGCTGGACTCCCTGATGCCCTGCCCTTCCGCGGGGTCCAGGTGCATTCCCTTCCACCTGCTCCATCTCCAGAAGAGTCCCCAGCCCTCTCCCCAGATGTCCCATCCAGAAAGGACCAGGGAAGCGCGCAGCCCATCCACCCCAC